TATATCTTTTTAAATATTAATAGAAATAATAGAATTTATAATTAATTTATATTAATTTTATTACTATAAAAAATAAATAAGGTAAGAAAATATAGCATTAAATTTATTTTAAAATTAAAAAATATTATAAGAATTTTTAGAATTTATTTAGAATTTTTTAAAAAAGTTTAGAGCAATTTTTAAGACTTTGATAAAAATAAATTTTACCCCTTTGGAAACCATTATGAAGAAATAGAGCAAGATTTAAAGGCCAAGCATAGTTCTTAGGCTAATTGGATATTTTTGAATACTATGGTAAAGTCAAAAATGAAAAAATATTGGTTCTAATAGTAAAAAATAGGAGGACTAATAGCTAGTATTGTCCTTGTGGAAAGAAAGATGTATAAGTTCAATATAGGTTGTAGTACCTTGAATGTAGTTAGGAGGATAAGACTAAGGCCTCGTCATCTCTCTTAGGAATCTATATACACTACAAGTGAGCATTGATGAGGCTCAAATCTTTGATCTATAAGCAAGTTATTCTCAATGTAAAATATTTTTATTTAACTTTTTAATTATTACTTACTATTTATCTTCACACCTTGCCTTGTTGCAAAGATTATTAGATTAGAGATCCTTGTTATCAGAGCCACTAATAATCTTTTTTATTCTAGAGCTACTAAAGCTACTAACTAAGATTTTAGAATTAATCTTTTCATCCACTAGAAGAATTGGTAGAAGATTGCATTGATTAATGCTGATGGGCTACCTATTAGCCATTGTTTTATCAATTAAAACTACATCATTTTTTCTTCTTCTTCAAAATTCCTTTCAATCCTTAATAAGATGATTTATAAATAGACAAAAGTGGTAGTCTATGAAAAAATTGCAATAGCCAATAAGAATTGTGGCTTTTTATTCTATTGCAATATTTATCACTAAAAGAAAAGTCTTCCACCTTGATCCAAAGGTAAGCTTGACATAGAATTGATGATTTGTTAAGGTGGAATTTTGTTTATCACTGCCAAGTAATTCACCTAAACCACCAATAATTTAGGCAGCCTCTTCAAAAAAATTATTTAAAATATTTTTGAAGGTGATTCTGATAAGAACTTTAAAACCTAAGAGGTGAGTGGCATTGAAGCTTAGTGTCCAAGTTTGTAGAATACATGTCTCCTAGCAAGATTTGTAAGGGGTAAGCGTAAGTAGTTTTTGGGTGATCACAAATTGATGGCTAATAAACTGAAAGAAACCATAATCTAAGTTGTCACCTACTCCTACCCAATTCCCAACCTTTTCTTATAGAGAAACTACCTAATTGATAATGACCATTGGAGGTTGCTTATCTCTACTAAAGTATACCACAATTACCTATCTTTAGAAATGCTTAGAATTCTTTTTGACAATAGTTAGGTCTACTTCAACCTCAAGTATATTGTTGCATGGAAGAAGTCCTATGCAGCTTCAAGCAAATTCTTTGGATAGAATTTCTCCTAATACCGCATGGATGGAATAGATCTTATTGTAATTTTCTATACTTATGACTGCTTTGATTAGCTCTAATTCAATCACTTCATCTTTCAAAGCTTGTATATGTCCCTTGTCACCTACAGATTGCATGGGGGCCATTGGAGTATGGACTATTTTTTTTTCACAGTTAGTCTGCATATAATCTTGCTTAGATCCTAAATCTTGCTAAACCTGATTTCAAGTAAACAATCTTATTAAACTTTGAATCTTGGAATCACAATTATCGAGGTTCATAAGATAAATCACTAGGTATATACTAATATGCAAAGCAAATTAAACCACAAAGTGTATTACGTTGCAATGGATCTGAGATCATTGCAAGGTGGGCACTTCATAGACGCGAGAGCTCCTCAGGCACTTCAATGCAGCCAGCTTTTTAGTCCATGAGTCGGCAATTTTGATGCACAATCGAAACGAGGAAAAAATTGATTATCTCAGTTTTGAACTATTGCATTCTTAACTGTACTATTAACTTTCTCCAAAATTGTATTTACTTATTTATATTTTTATGGATAATGAAGATGCCATAAAGGAATTAATTTAAGGTATCTAAAATTATGTCAAATGAATATATATATATATATATATAAACTAAAAAACTAACATTGAAAATTTTAGCTAATTACCATTGCCATAGTATAGGATTTGGAATCAGAAGATAAGAAGATTCTTTGGTTGATTTATCCAATCACATTTATGCCCATGTGTTTACAACACATTTTAAACAACTACAACCATGTTTTCATTAATATGCTCTAATACAGTTGGTAAAAACTTGAACAGAGAATTTATTGGAAAAATACAAAATAGAGAATAAAAGATGTGTTTTTATTACTATCAAAGAACAAAAAAATGGTATCATTGTGTGTGGTCTCTTACTCTATGTACGTTTGTGTCGTTACTTTAATTGATTAAATCATTATCTTCAATAATACCACAATTATCATGGTGGTAGTCCAAGCAAATGGCAGTATGGCATCAAAAGAGTTATGCATCAAACACTTGAAGATGGGAAAAGCTCTTCATTGCATGTGGGTTAATTCCATTTTTGAAACACTGAGGTATAGTTCACTAATACAATAAAAACAGATTTTTTTATCATATTGCACGTGTAATGAAAATATTCTGGAAACTGTCATTTGTGGTATCATTATATTTTGAAGAAGTAGATTATCTATTTGTAAAAGGTTTTGAATCAAGGTGGTGATGGGAACTTGTAGATTGTAATTTGCTTAAAATCCTGGGTGCAATGAATTTTAGTAATGTTTTTAATACTACGTTTCTGAGTAGAAGGTATCAAATATTTTACAATCAGTTTAGATCATGTTGTGTAGAATATTTCTAGTAATCATAAATATAAAAAAATTACTCTTTTCATTATTATAAACCTTGCATAGTTTATAAACTTTCACATACAATTGCATGGAAACAAATGATTTTACTCCAATATTTTTCTGAGACAAATCATTTCGAGTAGACATCCGTAATGGATTTTTTTCTTTCTTTTTTTTCTTTTTCATGTTAAACCGATAATTTTTTTGCTAATACTGAATATAAGCCCGAGTAACGACTTGAGTTTTGTTTTTATAAATGAATTTCAAATTCTATAAATGAAAAAAATAACAAAAGAAAAATTTCTAAATTAGTCACATAAGACCACACATTAATGTCACTATTCAACATCACAAAAATAGTCACTATTCAACATCACAAAAAATTTTGTTTATTGTGTACAAAATCTTAAATGCATTTGGACAAGCTACATTTTGCTACATACGAAATTTATGAAGATGGAAAACAGGAACAATCACTGTCAGGCATCGCAAAAGCTTTACGTGACTTTCTTTTGAAAGAAGTGAAAGAAATGGCAATATAATTTGGTGACAGTGGCTGATTTATCAAAACATACTCAGAGTAAGTTAAAAAATCTGCCAACTTCAGTTGGAGAGTAAAGCCACAGCTCATTTCCTTGTCATTTCGTTCGCAAAAAATCCTACCCAGGTAGCAAAACGAGGCCTCAAAGACGCCAAGCATGCGGCCGAGACTAATCACAGATCTTGTGTGCACCTGTGATCTCGGTGGAAATCAGGCAGTGCCTGGAATTCCTGGTCTGGGAGAAGCTGCGAAGCCTGGTATCAGCACAAGCAGCAGTCGACAAACAGAAACTCTATACAACTTTGTTGTGGTGCCAACATTCGGCGAGGAATCATTTTTCTACAGTTGAGATTTCATCACTCGGCACTGTCGTAGTCTGGTCTGGTCTGGTCAGTGAAGTCGACGTGTGCAGCCTCGGTCTTGTTCATTTCTACCATGTGAATTTGGTCATATGAAGTAGTGATGGTTTACCCAGTTTCATGTTCTAGGGCGTTGACGTCTTGTGGATGATCCCATTGGAGCCGATCTGACCTAGCAATCTAGAGTCCAAACGTGAAAGAATTCTTCTCAGCGAGTTGCGAGATTCAGTGTCACCACGTGAGGGTGAGAAATAACTGGCCTCCTCATCACAGCCCTATTGATTCGATGTTTTCCTTTCAAAGCCCATCGGCACATAGAGTTCTAGTAGTTAGTATCATACGTTGAGGTTGGGCATGGCAGGAGCTCATGGGTTCCACTGAGATAATCAACAAGGCTTCAAAAACTCTTCGACATAAAATAGAGAAACTATCAAACCATTAAGCGATGACATCCGTCGGCCAGCTATGACTGCCGCGTCGGACTATGCATTCCAGACTAATTTTCATCAAAAACCTCAGCCAACTACTTTGACAGGGCAAAGATATAAAGATCAATTTGAAAAAATGAATTATAACCAAATAAGTCAACGTCAGTAAAGACTGCAAGGTTTGTTTTTGTTAACTTAGCCTACTTCTCTGAACTGCTTGGAACTTTTTGATGTTAACAAATTTGCCGATTCTTCAGCCTTAAACTTAATCCCCAGACTTGAGGCTCTAAGCAAGTTTGACGTACCATTTATGATGCAAATGAACCTTTTCTATCAAAGCTCTGGAAGAAATCAGACTCCGAGAGTGAGCTGCAAGTGTTTTGGGCAGATGATGATTTCGTTTGCCACCATGGGAACATACCCCAAGCCCGCTAAGCTCAAAGACAGCAAATAGCTGGTGTTCACGGACTTGGCACCATGGAACAAGATGACACTGATTCCAGCTCAAAATCTCATGGAGTACAGTTTTGGAAGTGGACACCTCCAGTAGCCTGCTAGTTGTGAGCGATGAGGACACGAGACAGATGTTATCAAGGTAGTGGGCGGCTCGTTTGATTTTCAAATGCACCCACGAAGTTACAAGATGTCAGTAAGTTCAAAAGTGGTAAGCAAGTTTTTCTATAAGCTGTGAAAACTATTGAGGCTCAAAGGCTACAAAACTAGAGATCACCCGTATACAACTGCTTGTCTTTCACAACACAAGCTACAGCTACGACTGTGATTCAAATTACGTTCAAAATGCGCTGTCCAGCATCACAAAGACGTTTCCAAAATCGAAGAATGATAATCAACATTTCCGACACGTCTGCCTGATTTTTTACTGTACAAAGACCATTTAAGTACATTATAGATCTGTTTATGATTCTAACGTAGGCTTTCGGGCGGGCGAGAGGGCAAAGAACTCCCTCGTCGAGATTGGGACGAGTAAGCAATCAACCCAGAACCGCTCATGTGCCCGTTCGAGACCCCATTGACAACTACAGAAACAAAGAAACCCTTGCCGTAAGTGGAATCTTGCACATACGCTTACATAACAGACTCTTCAACCCTGTTCTACCTTCACTCCCTCCACATGGGCATTGTCAAGGTTACCAATTTGAAGCACATCAGAGCATTGTTGCTTCAGTTGAAGCAATCCGGACAATTCCTAACTAACCCTTTGACCAGCATGCCTCAATTCATGAGGAGATGTACCGCTCCCATCCGTGGTTCAAGTCCAGCTCGCTACCTCTACACTGCAAGTAGCTGTTTCCGTGATAGTTTTGCTCCAGGGAACTATGCTCCTCCTTCACGTCATGTGCTACTCCGTGCATGGTTGCATTGGGTCGTTCAAACTCTTGACCATACATATCGTGCAAGCTCGCGAACCCGCCTTGCAGTAATCCACCAAGGTGGTCACCAGCCACACTGTCCACGCTCGGGTGGGGAATCCCCACACGCTGCTGGGAGGTCAGCCTCTCCATAACCATACCATTTGCAAGCTGGTTTGCGTTGCTGTCGTTGGACTCGGACAAAACACGGATGTTCATCGATGAAGACGGCATATTTTGGAAGGAGCTAGTGGGCCAGAAACTTGCGACGGAACTACAGTGTGGTGAGGATGACACGTTGACTCTCATTAAAGCAGGTGACGTTGTAGAAACAGCTGCTGGATGTACAAGGCGAGCTGGTTTGCCTCTACCATTGCTGGATCCCTGCGCGTGCAGGCGGTTAGCACTCATCTCTTCTTGAAATTGTGTGGAAGACTCCTGCCCAACACCATCATCATCCTCTGAACAAGAATCATACGAAGACCCACTTCAGTTGGCGGCTAGCTGCCAAAACCGATCGAGGATCTCACAAGATGTGTGCAAGCGGAAATCCCAAAGCTGAACCCCTTCTTCTATCCTCTAATCTCAAATACCAAAAAAAAACCCTACACAGCGATACGATCCTCATCTCAGGAGCAATGCCCAAGGAAGCTTATAAATTGCAACCCCCGATCAGACCAAAAGGAATATCAACCCTAGCAATGGATTAATTCGGTTCAATGTCGCCCTCCTCGAAACAAAATTTGCAGATCAATAGAAGGACTAAGATTGAAACAAAGTGCTTCAATTGGTTAGTCTGTATGCATCAGATGGAAGCTGGTGGAAAAAGGTAAACTCCGAGTTACTCATGTAGTGGCCTGCATCAGTGATCTAGGTGTTAGCGACTTCATGCAAGGACCTGACCCCATCGCCATGCCACAAGACCTATTCCGACATCTAACCCTCCCTTAAAACAAGTCCCTAAGAAGCAAGGAGATATGGTGTTGCGAGACGCGACTCGAAGAAGGAGTCAGTAGTCTACCGGTAGCGCCTTGAGGCTCGCCGCTCCCGGTGATTCCCCCACTGTCCTCGGCGTTCGGGGTGAGATTCGTGAGAAAGCTCTTTTGTGAGGAAGTGTCCGAATTTCGAGATGGCTGTCGAGGAAGTGGATGAGGATTCATGAGAGAGTCAGGCTGCGCCATTCCCGCCATGCCAAGGTTGGAGAAACCCGAAGGCATCATGTTGCCCACTGTGGTCACTTTAGTGGCCAGCTTGGTGAGCTCCGCATGTGCGGCTTCCAAGCTCGGAGACTCATTTGTGTGACTGGCGAGAGTTTCTTTCGCTTTCTCCAGAATAGATTGCAGATATTTGCCTTGTGCCTCAATGCGCATTTGTAGATGTCTTTGCACCTGCGATCATAACAAGGTTCCGAAGTCGAGAATTAGCTGGGTTTCCTAAATGAGGTCTGATCCTCTGCAACTGACCGCGCAGAGGAACAATGGAGTTGTGTAGATTGAAGAGAAGGATTATTACCTCCAACTGATCTTGTAAACGTTGCTGAACTTCCAATTGTAACTGAATCTGATCAGTCATTTGCAAGCCACTGCCATAGAATCACAACACAGGTCACTTCAAACATCTCGCCGTACGCAAACCATAAACAGTTTCGAAAAATTAACATTCTGCATAGCAAGACAAAGAATTCAAGTACACAGATTATGCGGTAAGGATCGACAGGTGGCTGATCATATACCATGTTATCTTGGTACTTACTCTTGAGGATTTTGAGACTTCAAAGGCTGGACACCATCTGAGAAGGAATTCGACCGCTGTAAACCTGCAGAGACAGCTACAATTAGTTCTTATCAAATCAACGCTAGGCTCTCATATTCGTGTTTTTTTTTTTTTTTTTTTTTTTTTTGTCGGACATACAATCGGGTAGGATTCTCACTTTCATGCCTCTTCGGGGCTCCATCTATTTCAAATTCAAAAAAAGCAGCGGATACAAGAGGATTCAGGTGTAAGAATAATAAAATGTTAAACGGATGGAGAAGGCATGACTTACTTCCATCCTTGTTTTGAAGATGTTGATCTCTGTTGAGCTGCTTCCCAAGCCTATATTTCTGCAGATCCACTCATGTTCAGCCACTCTCCAAGACATTCATATGACTAATTTCCTATGGACAGTGCGTGGTCAACTTCAATCATTTCGCAACTTGGATAGCAATCGCATAAAAATACTCTATGGGGATGAAATCAGTCCAGTTATAAGTCGCCATGCAATGCAAGTCGTTAGTTCATGACGTATACCAAAACAATCCAACGAAAATAAGTAAAGTATACCTGCAGATGACTTTTCAGATGGTACAGAGTCAGCCCTTTCACTCCCATAATGCGCATAACGGATTTCGGAGTAGCCTCTGCACAAAGACATATGATATTAAAGAAAGAAAATTTGAAGACGTAGAAGCAGCAGCAATCTTGTAACTAGAAGGATACTGAACAGACACGAAGGTAGAGAATATCGGTGCTAGTAAATACATTTTCGATGGCCATGCAAACAACAGTTCTGCGCAAATTACAAGACTCGAACTGCTTAGAAATTTACACAGCAAATATCTGATGTTAAAGTAAGAACTTGGCCACAGTACTAAATCCTCAAGCCTGTGCCATTATCTCCTGGCTTTATCTCAAAGCTCAATAAATTGAATCGGGGCATTTCCAGACTGGAACATTATGTGATTTATAATGAAGCCGATGTACGCGTGGCCGGAAGCCTTGGGTATACCCCTAGATGGAAGGTGTAGGCTCCCTTCTGCCAACTGCCACAGTCGAAACTAATTCGAAGGACTGCTGTAGATGGAAGAACACGAACCAGAATTAAGGAAACCTGTATTCTTTAACACACCTACTAGGCCAAAGACGAGACAACCACTAGACACTTGGTCGGACCGCAACAGCAGAGTTGCAGTCTTAGAATCGAAAGAAAACAAGTTCAAGTCTGGAACCTAAAGCTTGGAGCACTCTCCTGGTCCATTCAGTAATCGGCATGCTCGGTTCAGAACCTGTCTCAATGCAGTTTCCTGTCGGTCAATTAGTGTGAAAATTGGAATTGAAGGGTAAGAAGAGGTGGACTTACTGTCAGCCCCGCCAAGTTGTGTTACGGCGTCTACAAAGCGTTCGTGAAGCTCTGGAGTCCATCGTAGACGAGGCTTGGGATCTGCGGGACTCAAAGGCACCATATCACCTCCATTCATGCCGTGGGAACTGCCATAGGATGGAGACAGTTTGTCATGCACGTATACAGAGGGTTGTGCCCGCTGCTGATACGGTCCCGGACTCGACATCCCCGGACTCATGTATTTCGAATTCATCTGAAACATCTTGGCGGATCAGGCGGAAGATTCCAACACAAAATGATCCCGGACGCTTCTGCCTGGTGTACACGCACTCTCAAAGATCACTACTATCCAAAATGTTCGGGAGTCGGCACACCCTGTACACTTTCAATTGAAAAGTACAACCAGGCCTAGGGGGTGCTTGCACGGGGGTGTTATTCGCGGCGGTGAAGGTCAAATGAAACGGGATCACTCTATAAGATTTCCATCGTGCAGTACTCAAGTTTTTAATTGATGACTGTCTTGGTGGCCTCAACAACGGAAGAACCAGCGACGAAGCCAAACCCTCCCACTCGCTACCGCCAACACCTAAATCGGCAATGCAAAAACCCCAACTGAGCTGTCCACAAAAGCCGCACTCTCTGCAACTGACTCTGCAACTTCCGCAATACCTCAGCGCTCCTCCAAACCTGGCCAAGAATCCACCAGACTAGTGCCGAAATGAATCTAGAAACTAGATGCCGCTGCAGATTTAAAATATATATTGTGCCGTCACCCTTGTAACATAACCCAGTTCGTAGATTATCTCCACACACACAAACACACAGGCGCGCACGTGCACAAAGCAGCGCGAACCGATGATTCCAGCGAGCAATGATCGAATTGCGATAGGGATATCTAGTGCAGTGAGATGAATCTTAGCGTCAGCGATGGGGCTAACTTAGATTCAAGCCCGATCGTAACCTTGAAGAGAGAGACAACAGCCCGTTAAACGGCTTGCAGAAGTGCAACAAAGCAGCACTCTGGAGCAGAGAGAATAATATAGATACAAAACTACTTACAGACAAAACAATCGGTCCCGAGCGGTGGGAAGCAAGCAGCGGGAAAGAAAAGTTTGGCAAGCACGATCGAATTGAGCGGAGGGAGCCACGGAATGGCAACGCAAAGGGGGGGGGGGGGGGGAGCAGAGGATGGAAAGGGAAAGGCCCAGCACGGCGATGCACAAAGTTTATACCCCCAGTTCTCGTAGAGCCCGGTAAAATCTTCGCTTCCAAGGGTTCACCGCCGGGTGAGACGGCCCATGCCCCAGCACTGAAGGTCGGGGACAAGGGTGTCCCTTAGATGGACTCGGGCAGGGTCCCGAACCCTCCACCATGTTCGCCCACGCGTGGCGAGCCGGATGCTGTCATGGATTGTTAATATTAACTCTCTCGATCAGTCAGCGGTGACCAGACTGGAAGCTACTCTCTCAGGATTGTACCGGGCAGCAAGTAGGATTGGTGGGGTCTGTAGATCAGTTCCATATGAAGACGACCTTCTTCTATATCTGCTTTTTCTAAAAACACAGCAATAGACAAAGAATGTTAAAATAAAAGCAAGTCTGAAAGTTGCTCAGTCGTAAACACATATAAAACTTGAAGATCCGATGAAATCCGATGAAATCCGATGAAAGCCTCTAGATGCGAGATGAATAATAGAAGAAAAAAAAAGTGGTGAAGGGTCTGTTGTTGAACCCCAGCGCAAGAGTTGGACAAGCTTCACTCCACGCTGACCACACCGTAGCCTTGTTGCTGATGTCCTCAAGTGCGCATTTAAAAATTCCACACTAGCAAGGCAAGGGTGTGTGCCCCACCCAATGCCCCCTCCTAGTGGTACGTAGATGGTTCCCACAAAGGGACGTTCCTCTACAGTTCACCCCGAGGTGTGAGGGCACCACGTGGTCTGCAGAAGCGTCCACGGCTGAGGCCAGCGTCTCCGCGACATGCCTGGATCTCAACTTGCCAAGGGACGCGAGCAATCGAGACAGCGAGCGAGCCGGTCAAAGTGTGTGACGACACAAGCATTGCAGCCCAGGCTGGAGCCCAAATTTAGCCCCACATCCGTCCATTGGCGCTTTCAAGCTGCGTCCTCCCTCCCTCCCACGTACAGCCCCCCCTCCCATCCCTGCTCAACCATCAACACCGCGGCCCCACACACATTCCAGAACCCAAAATACCAACAACAAAACACACACACACAGCCACTCTTTCCTTTTTCTGGACGTGGATTTTCCCGCGACCCGCTTGAGTTTGATTTGTCGAGGTTCTATTGCACAAGCCTCATCATTCAGAGGAGAAAACCTCACACTTAGTTAGACCCTGAGCTCCACACTTAGTTAAACCCACTGCAGCTGTAGTCTACGTAGAACACAACCGAGTTCACTGAGAGTGTGTAGTTATGTGAACAGTTCATGTCTGCAGTTCATTGTGTGTATAGGTGTAGCGAGGGTGATTTTCACACCTCCTCATGGTGTCCACTTGTGTAAGTTCCGGGCTTCAGAAAATTGTGATGTTTTTACAGTCTTTGTGTGTGTGTGTGTGTCTGTCTGTGTGCGTGTATGTGGAGATTTTCCTTTGTTTTCTGTAGTACTGATTTGTCTTTTGCATCCCCATCTTTTGGTGTTCTGTGACACATGCCAGTGTGTGTAGAGTTTGTCAATGATTGTTTAATCATTGGGCCACTCTTTGCTCAACATTTCTGGGGCTTGCGCTTCAGAATCTGGTACGTGTACTATTAAAGGAATTATAAGAATAATAATACATAATCATTGGGTCGAGTCAAAACTTGCCTTTGATGCATAAAAAAAACTCTCTTGACAAATGCTTTATTACGTCGAGGAAATTATATTTATAGTTTTCAACGTTTGCCTTTATTAACTCTCATGTGCAAAGGTCTTGGACCCAGTTCCAATTCCTCTACCAACAACGAGGATGGGATATTTTATGATTTTGTATTCTATTATTTTCCTTCTTTTTCCCTTATTCATTGGTCTGAAATTAGGCTCAACTTTATTGAGTGCGTAAAGCTACCCTACAACCACCTCCCTGAAATTGTCCCATGAGCGCAAAACGACAAAAAATGATCCTCAAACCAAGCCAAGGGAGGTTTCAAAGATTGCTTATTGGATGCATCATTTTTCATATTTTTGCCTTTTATTTAACCCCATTGTGGCCCATGCATCATTTCTTAGCTGCATTGAAAGCATTGAGTGTGTGTGTGTGTATATATATATATATATATATAGATACAGATATAGAAGTGTGAGTTTGAGAGAGAGTGAAGAACATGTCAAAAGAGATTGTAATTATTCTATCTAAGTGGAAATAACTAATACTATCAAAATTAAACTAATAGCAATGCTTAATAAATATAATGATGACGATGATAGTAATGACAATGAACAGTTTGCATGATTTAACCAATGAGTGAGAATTTGACTTAAAAACAAAACAAAACAAAACACGTCTGAGCATTATTGGAATGGAGTTTCACTTCCTCAATCTATGATCACTTCTAGTTACATATTTTGTGGGCATATATATATTTGCTACCAACCATAAGCAGGCTTAGTTTAGATCTGTAAATAATGTTGCATATTCTCTTGGTTCAAGAATAGTAATAAAAAGAAAACACAGAATGAAACATGAATAAAGATGCCAGCAAAGTCCAACCAATCAAAGAATTACACATCAACATAATGGACAAATACCACATCTTTTTGAACTTGGAAAGAGTTGCACAAAGCAAAGCAATCACTAGTACATTAAAAATAAATAAAATATACAAATATAAATAACTAATAGAATGCCTCAAAAGAATGGTCATCCTTGTAGGATGCAAAAAGCATCAACTTCATTTTAACTTGGCATTGACAATAAAAATCCGCTCATGTATATTTTGTGGGGTCTCTCGGGATTCCGATATTACTGAGCTTGATATTGATGGGACCCAATACAAAATAAAACGAATCCTTTTCATTCCTTACATTTCTCCTTGTAAAATGACTTCGGGGTTTGTCATGGAGGGCTTTGCCAAAGAGCCATACTAACTTCCGGTCCCTTTTTATTGATTTTTTGATATCCCTCTTTTGCATTGTGATTCTTTCAACATCCATTCTATAAGATCTACATGACATGGAATCCAACACCCCTCTCCCCTTTTCTCCCTTAGCTCAAGGTTTTGTTTAAATAGGAGCTTGGGATGGTATAAAGATTTGGTAATAAGCAATAGTATATATAGTAAATATTATTTTGTAGTGTTCAATATTCTTACAAAAAAATGTCTACAACATGTAAAAAGAGCATTCTTCTTACTTCTTTCTTCCTTTTTTTTTTTAATTTTTTTTTACATGGTTTTGTTTTGTGTATATGTATATATAATAAAGTGATCATGGGCTTTCTCCTGCATCAATGGGAATGATGGTAAGCAATTCCCTTGGGGGCATGGCCGAGATCACATTTTGTTGCTATAAATAGAATGGGTCTCCTTCCAAGGCACTTGGTATATGGAGAAAAAGATGTCACTCTGAGCCCCAAAAGAATGTTAAACAATAACATGCCCATACAAAATAATAAATGACAAATAATAATTGAAAAAGGAAGCAAGTGAGGAAATGCAAAAAAAGAAAAAGAAAAAAAGGCAAGAGCCCCACAAAGTTGATCAATTGCTACAACATTCTAAGGATTGAAGTATTGGGGTAGTGTTGGATGCAACCATTGTAAGAAATAGAGTAGTTAGAAAAGAGAATAGTGGTTGCATGTTTTGAAAGAGGCCATTTATCCACCTCACAAATTAGGCAAAAATTAACACTTTCTTTAACAAAATGTGGAGGCAAGCTACCTAAACGGTAAAATTTAAGGAAAAAGACTGAACAAATTATTTTGATTCCTATCCCATTCAAAATCCAACGTTAGCATTTTAGATATCAAACATATGATCGAAAGATTTAGTCCTCGAACTATAAGTTTAGGAGGAGCCAAAAACATTTCTTAGATTATTTAGACAAATATTAAACATGAATGTAAAAATGATGTCACATAAATTGATTTTTCAATCAAAATAATTATTGAAAAACGAAGATAGAATACTACCTTAATAGGTCCTGAATACCATACAATATAAGATTTCAAATAATGAATGCAATATGTGAATATCATTAATTAAATAACCAATACAATTCTTTGTTTTTATTACACAGATTATTATTTTTTGTACATAAAAGTTTCAGTGGGAGGAAATCTGAGCTGATGTCTAATTTAATAAAAGAGAAAGAATTGACTTTGAGTAAACAAAAATAGGAGATATAATTTATTTTAAAGGAGTGAACAGTAAATATCGAAGATTTTTATTCTTCAAGAGCATAGATGCAACAACATCCAACAATAATATATATATATATATATATATATATATCACCAAATTGGCCACTCTTGTTTGCTTATAATTTAAATGTCTATCTTTGAAAATTTTGAAAGGCAAGTAATAAGGAAATTTTCAGATTTTCTCATTGAAATGTGAGATGCTTAAATTTGAAGATGAAGAAACAATGACAATAATGATACAGAAGAATAGTAATACAAGAGCCAAAAACATCACACAATGGTAAAGAATATTACAATCTATTCGATGCAAATCACTTTTAGGAACAAAGGTTGTGGGTTGCAAGCAACAGGAAGAAAAACCTCAGTTTGGCTTACACTTTTTTACTTTTTTATTTTTATCAATTAAGTAGTTCAATAAAAGTTCTAATCCCTAAATTATTGAAAATCAACAACTTCATTGTACAATCAATTTGGACAAGGAAAATATGTTGTAATTATTCTTAATAAGAAGTAGCATAATACTTTTTTGAAAAGAAAGAAAGATAGTCTATGTATCCAACCATCTTTCTGAAGTTATGCTTTGTCTTGAGAAATTAAAATCAGATTTTTACGCAAAAAGTAAAAATATAAAATTATTGATCTAAACTTAAAACATCTTATGCTAAATCATCTCATTAGGACTCCAAATCCTTTTAGACTATATTACAATGAAAATATCACAAGTTCCAAAAAACTCGTCTTTGCATTAGAATCAAGGTTCACCATTTTATTTATCCAAGAATTCAAAATTGTGTGGCAGTTAGAATAGAAATCACAATGCAAGAGTGGAGGTCTTCATACTTAATGTAATTCTAATGTATATGTTAGCACCAAGAAAATAATAATTTTAACATTTCCATTAATCAAATACCTGATATCAAACACATGATTAATTTGAAAAATATAATGCTTAAGGCTACCATTAAAGTCGTTTTAAGAACACAACAAACACATAACAGCAATTTAAGCATCCAACAATGCAAGATAACAAAACCAACTCAAGAGAAAAATTACATCTATATATATATATATAAAGAATAATGCCTGAAACTTCCCATAGACCCTTAGAGGAAACTGAAGCAAAACTAATCACACACAAACAAATTATCAAGTTGTAAAATGATCACCACAAGTGAAACTATATTCTTTGAATGTTTTCAAAATCATGCAACTAATCAAAAACAGGTTTCTATCTTAAGTTCTTTTGAAAAAGCATAAGAAATGGTGCATGAGTTTCTGATTACTGCAACAAATTCAATGTAAACTCAGATATCTTTGACTAAAATAGTGTTACCTTATGAATGATCAAAGGCATTTATTTGATCTCTAATCACCTCCTACCAAACCTAAGCCTATGATTTATTTCCAATATTTATTTCTTTTAGTAAATACAACTTGCTTTTGAGATCCAAAAGTCACCAAGAAGGTTGTAGCAATATAGTTTAGAAATGATTTAGAGTTATAATCCTCCATCTGCCATATAACTTTTGTTAAATTTTGCTTGAAGTACTTTTTCATTTAAAACCCTATGCACTTCTATGGGATTTCTTGCCAACTTCATAGCAATAAATAAACTTCTTTTACAGACAAAAGATTGTATCAACAATATCATCATTAAATCATGTCCAATTTTACAAAGAATAAGGCAAGATTGACCTCTTGTAATATAACTCTTTAAGATTATTTATATATATAGTTCACAAATTGAAAATATAAAAGGTTGAAAAAAATGTATGTTTTCTAAAACCTCAATCTAACAAGTTATTTGTTCATGCATAGACAATCCCTGTTTTAATCTTTGCAAAGAGGACCAAACCATACTACAGTTGATTGATATCTATTTCCAATTCAGCTACATGTTTATCCTTTAAAATTATAAAATAAAGCATATTTTTTATTCAAATAATAGAAACACATAAAACAGGAAAAATATAATAAATAGGTTTATAAAAGAAACAGTAACGAATTATTTGCCACCTTCTTTGGAAAATTTTGGTCATAAAAAATAAAAAATTAAATCTTTTCATAAAAAGCCAATAATTTTTTTTTCAGTGCTTTTCTTGGTTGGTTATGAATAGAAGCATACTATATATATATATATATATATATTATACTTTAATTTTTATATATGTTTTTATTTTAGTCGTAAAATGAATTAATAAAATTTCACAAAAGATTAAAGAAATATGTACAACTTCTTGTAGACTAGCCAATGAGTATGCTCATAGCCAAATAAAAGTGAAATATAAAGTAAAAACTATCAATCTTAAAGATTCTTCAGCAATATTTGTTACAAAAATGAGTCATCAACTTTTATCAATTCAGAGACGGAAGTAAACAAAAATTTCTTCAATTCCCAATAATGAGATTAAAGTCATGTGCGGTTGATAGTTAGTCTTCTAATTTAATTTAAGCTCTTTTTTTTAGCATTGAAAAGTGTTGAATTAATATACATATATTAAAAATATATATATATATATATATATATATATATATATTGAACTTCAAAGCACATGCTTTTCTAACTAAATGAATTTTCTTATTTTGATAGACTGTGAAACATCTATTTATTTGTGACCACATCTTAGTGAAAATATCCGCAATGCAATACAACAATAGAATAAAGAAGTTCATTGTCATTTATTATAAGAACTATATAAACTATTAAAATTAAAAGACATTTATATTGATTTCAAATTCATAGAGTAAAATTAGTTATTAAGCTACTACTTGCAGTCTAGCACCTTTAAGATTTGATTAATCAAATTTATAGATGATAACTCCCTTCTGTTAAGCAACAAATACATAGAGATGTATTTAGATTTAGAAGCTTTCTGATACTTTTTAGAAATTTAAAAAACACTTGCATGGTAATTTAAAACATGCTGTAGTTTAAGCATTTAAGTCTATAATAACTCTAATATTATTCTACATAAACTCTGGTTTTACAATAAAACAAATAAACATGGATTTGGGTTTGCTCGCTAAACAATAAAATTTGTATACATCCACTACATCTAACCCATCTTTTTTCAATAAAAAACAATTCTAGCAAAAAAAATTATTCTAATGAGTCTTAATAACTACAAGATCAAATGAATCCTACTAAAAAGATATTTACGTGTAGAGAATCTGAGTAGTTGACAATGACATTATTATATTTCGAAGTAGAAACATGTCTCTATTGCCTTTTGTAACAACCTTTTTATACAATTTCTTACCTAATCACAATCACATACTAAAAAGTCATATTTAATTTCTAAAGCAAAACAAGGTTTTTGTTTTGTTTTTTTGTTTTTTTGGAATTTTTTAATTTTATATATAAACATATATATATAGTAGTAATATTAATAAAATTGATATATGTTAGTACATATAACAATAATAAAACTATACATATGTATATATATATATATATATATATATTTTAGACTCCCATGCCTATCAAGAACAATAATTATATATATATATATATATATATAAACATATTATTGTTATTCTTTTTCTTATAAGGAGTGGAAGATAAACTTGTCAACTTCAAGCTTCTGTTGCTTTTCGACAGCATTCAAAACCACAAGCCAAATAGAAGAAATTAGTAGAGTTTAAAATATCAATATATATATCTATATATATATATATATATCTATATATATATATATCTATATATATATCTATATATATATATTTTTAATAATTTGAAAATATAATTGAGTTCAAGATAGGTAGGAGAGGATTGCATTAAATAAACTTCCTATAAAGATGGTATTATTAGTATCACATGGCCATAAAAATAATAGTACATTTTTTTTCCTTGTTCAATTAAGTATTTAGTGCATTTTTATTTTTATTTTTATTTCTTTTCTTTTCTTTTGCTTCCATACAAAGGAAAGAATTTCTAGTATATACATATGCTTCTTTTTATATTTCGGATATACATCAAAATTCTTGATTATTATATTAAATAAAGATTTCAAAAAGAAAGAATCTTGCTCTTTCTTCCCAAATCCTATTTAAATATAGGCTTCCTCATGCTACTCTATCTGTGACTTCTTGAGTGGTTGTTATTATGTGAGTACTTGTAATAATGCGTGTATGTAATTATGTGTTACTATGTTGTTTTAAAAAAAAAAAAATGCTAAAATCTCATACAAATATATTATAGTTTTCAACAAAGACAAGAACAGTACTTTACCAATTTATGAATGGAAAAAAGAGCCACAATAACAATATTTAAATTGTTTCAAAAGTTATGAATCTAGACGCTGTACATTATTTTCATTTAAGAAAATATAAAACTAGCTAAACGTACATTAGTATTGCAAATTAATACTTCTTATCTTATGTTGAATAATGCAAAAAATATTTGTATGTGTGCATATATATATATATATATATATCTGTTCAACTCCTATTTGACAGACTACATATCTGTTGTATTTTGGTATTAGATAATTTATGGATGTTTGTTGTACTTGTGAGATTCAGGAATACAAATGCAAAAACTTCAGGTCTTTATTTTATAAAGCTGAAGCTGGATTTAATGTGATATTTTCAGAAACTAAAACTAATTCCTTAAACGAGATGCCACATTTCGGTACAGAAAATAATTCTAAAACTAATCAATGGCCAACACGAAATCATTAAAATAGTAAATAAAATAATATTCCGTCTTACAATTATCATTCTCACCTGAAACCCCACCTCATGCTTTCATATGCTTATGCCATACTTGGTTTATTGACACAAAACAACATCCCTCCCAGGCCAAGGAAAAAAAATAAACAAAAAAATCTTATCTATCATTGAACCTCACCTCCATCGTATACATTAATCTATTCGCTTATTTTAGTTTGAACACCATTTGTGTACGTCACATAAGTCAAGACCTAAGATAAGCTTCCATCATTCCCCACTTTGCAAAAAGGAACTTCGACATGAGAAGCATGTTCAAAAGTGCTTCTGGAATGCACTACCCAGAAGCTTCTTTTCCATCAACAAGACAGTTGTTATTAATAAATTTAGTTGTTATAAACAAATTTTATTATAGTGTGTGTGTGTGTGTGTGTGTGTTTTTTTTTTCTTTTCTTTTAACTTTTTTTTTTCAATGGAGGTGTTTTTTATGACAAAAGTATGTGAAAATGTGCGCTAGAAGCGCAAATAATTTGAGCTAAGCTGAGGGAGTGCCAAGAGCCGCCCTTGGGCTCTAGATCTCCGCCACCATCGCGAAGCTTTGAGATGGGGTCGCGAGTGGGTGCGCAGTGAATGACGTTACTATAGCGAAATTCATTTTGGAAGCGTTGTCATGGCATCGACGCAAGCGATCTTGGACGCGGCGGTATGGAATCCCGGGCACAGCATGGAACGCAAGGCAATGCCAAGCCAGGAAGAAAATCAACGCCTGTTGTGCTGGGTTTTTGTTGTTGTGATGGTGGTGGTGTTGGCTGCTAGCATCTTACACTCGCTGCCTACCCTCGAAGTTGCGACCTCTACGTTCTCGCCAACTTTGTGTTACACTGCTACTGGATGATCGTTCCTTGCACTGGGGCTTGAAAGGTGCTCCATGTTCTGCTGCCAGTTCCCGGGGTACGTTTGGTTCGGCGGGACTGGCACCGGGTTGACGCCATGACTCGTGACGGTGCTGGCTGTTGAACTTGTCTTGTTACTGCAATTGCGGGGCAGCCTCTTGTCCACTGACCCAGCAATTCCTCCCCCCCAAACCCTTCGCTGATCTCCTCGCCGAATCGCAGACCCTCAGGCTGCGGAGGTTCTGGAGCTGGCTATATCTGGGGTGTCTCAAATTCCTGGCACCTCCTCCCTAGTTGAATGTTTGGGACATGTTTCTGTTTTTGTTGTATATTTTTATGAATGCCATTCTGGCGCCGGATGGAACATAACACGGAGTGCGCCAATGGGCCACTCTTCCTCCCGACTTCTGCCAGACGGCACGCGTTCAGCTCGCCACCTTGCCACGGCTACATTCTCCGACTCCATTTTGGGTGAACGTTTCAACTGCACACAGCGCATTGGTTACTGTGCCGAAGCGACTGCACCGCTCCTTTGTGAATTGGAATGATTTCTCGAGTCGCGGAAGGTTGTGTTTCTAGAATCTATCCTGCGCTGCCCTACAAGGGACCTAATGATTGATTTTTGCTCCATGGCAACGGGCATTCTGTACGCCGGAATCATTCTATTGTGCGATTCGCAGATAAGCGCACGAACAGGGATAAGAAATGCTTCTTCGGGAAGCCAATGTTTTATCCTCGTATGGGCTATTCCCTGCAGGCATTTACTCGTACACTGATAGTGCAGAGTAAAGGATGCACTGGATTAGATAACAGATATACCCAAAGCAGATGGTTTCGAACCTCGCCAGGGTTGACCCAGCCAGATGGAACCCTAGCAGCTCGTTCATATTTGCTAGTTGTCTGATCTTAACTTCCGAGTTAGGCGGGTGGTGTAATTACTGCATCATGTATACCGATCTAGATCAGTATTCAGAAGTAAATTTCAACCATCTACGTAAGTGACAACTCATCTAATCAAGACTGCCTTATTCCCTCAGATTAGAGGAACATCAAGGCCTGCCCAGTGCGGGGACAGATTCTCGTGTTGGTTGAGACTCGTGATCAGAATAACTATGAAGTGTACCCCGATGTCGGGTATGAAGATTGATTATTTAAAACATCACGTATGCCAAGTTTAAGTTGTGAGAATGGTATCAGAAGAGCATCCAGGCTATCGCGGCAGTCTTCAATCTCGATTTCTCTAATATCTTAATTTTGAAATGCGAGGTTCATCGCTACCGTAATATCGGGTTCACTTCGGCTATCCACAAAGAGGACGGTGGGTGATGTGCTAACCAAGCAGGGCTCGAGAAGCACGTCACCAAACGAGATCTGCTTTGTGAATTTCATGAGAGTGCCGTACTCAGACTCCGTGGAAAATGTGCATACAGAAGGATGTCTGTTGAATCTCCATGATATTGGAATTAAACTGACTTGAAAAATGCACCGCCAGGGAAACGGCGAATTTCTCCATCCCTAGCCCAATCCGTGTCAGAGAAGCCTCGAGATTCTAAACGTGTTCTTGGGGAGAAGGCCGCATTTCCGGAAGATGACTAATGCCTGCATGAAGATCAAGGTTACACTGTTCCATTCCTCGTCCACAAAGAATGATACAGGGAAAACTTCACAATTGAGTGAACAGACGGAAGGGTGCTCAGAAGTGTTCCATTCCCAGTTACTTCTAGACGTCGGCGTCGTCCCTCAATGCGAAGTGCACTAGTAGTTGGCGAATCAACCAAGTCTGCTGGCGTGAAGTTGTTGCCGAGTGCATCGAGGTCATCGACGCAAAGAACCAAGGGCACCCACTGACCACTACCCGACCATGTGTGAAGGCTGAAGTTATTTCTCTGAGCCAATGCTCAAAACCTAAAAAACCCGTCGACCTAGGCACTAGCTTCGAGCCACAAAAGCCTTTCCAAAGATGCAGTGACGAAAGGAAAGTAAAAAATATGGAAAAATCTGAAAGTGGAGGAAAAAGTGGCATCGCAACTTTCGGTGGTCTGCATTGAGCTATTAATGGAGTTTTGTAGTCACGATGAAACTATGCTGGCATTCATAGCAGATCTTATGGGTAAAAATGCATCAGGGATACTTGACACTTTGATGAACACAAAGCATTTCTTACCGAAGCCTGTTAGCGCATCTTTGCACGAGTTATTATACAAGATTCTTGGAAACAGCAATTTTAAACTGTCATTTGCGAAAGTTTTCGTTTCTCACTATCCTAAATTTTTTGAGGATTCTGCTGCAGCAGAAAGTGCAGCAATTGGAATCACGTCAGCGAACAAGTATAGCGAACATGCCATTCTTAATAGCTTTTCTGTACAGATTTTTACAATTCCAACACTTACACCGAAACTGGTCATTGAGTCCAGACTTCTAGAGATGCTGCTTGGCACTTTGAAAGAGTTCTTCCTTGCTTGTGCGGGAGAGGATGGTCGACTTTTGGTAAGCTTTTTCCTTCTTCAGTTTACGAAATGAAGATTCATTTGGAGCTCTATCTGCTGAGAGATGTCACAATATTGATTGTTAATCCACTAAGAAGTTTCTCTAGTGGGAATATTTGATTTCTATGTGATCCCTGGTGCTACCCATGGAAATGTTCACTGATTATTTTTAATAATCATATGGCATGGTCCTTGTAATCTCTCAAATCGAGCTTCTTGGAAGTTGTTTCAGGATCGGAGTGGTTGCGTAACGTTAGTCCGAATATCGAGAAGTGTAGTTACAAATGGTTTAGAGATACTCGAGTAGACAAATAGGCATGGTCATTCCTGAAATTGTTTTTGTGCTATATTTAATCTTATTTCAGGGAAGTAAGGGTCTGTTGGTCAAACGCATGTACTATCGAATTCTAGAGGACATAAGATATGTGATGAATCATTTCGAGGCGGCAAAGTATGTAGCGGAAAGGAAATCTGAACTCTCGAGAGCGTGGCTTCACTTGCTTGCCTTTGTTCAAGGCATGTACCCGCAGCGGCGCATGACAGGAATTCACGTAGAAGAAGACAATGAAGTGTGGAGTTCCGTTTATTCCTTGGAGAACCAAATGGCTTCCATCCATTCTCTATTTGTTGCAGGAGCAGCTTCTAATGCATCCTTAGAGGAGACATATTTGTCTACACCTTGTGGTAGCTTTGGATTAGCGAAGGAGGCTCTGGGTAACAGAGAGTTTCAGCAGGCCTGTCAAAATTGGATGTGTATTGAGAGAGTCCAACGAGACAAATGGTGCTAGCGGCTGTGGTCCCTCTGAAGCAGTCGTGGAAATGCGTGATGTCACTGTTACAGTTGATTCTGTTGAGGGTATCCATAGTGAGATTGTACTACATTCAGTTAAGAAAAAGGATGTTGGGTATGTCTCTCTGCACGGATGACAATGCCAGCTTCGATGGTGTGGCTCATCTCTGAATGCACTCAAGTTCTTGACACCTGGTTTGGTTTAGATGCTGCGAGAGAGGTCGCAAAATCAGGGCAGTCTGGTCGTGAAGCCAAGAGTCGGAACAACGGAACTATCACTCTTACCAGCAGAAGTGCTCATCGGCGCTGGTTCAGTTGGACCAGCGTTGTTCGTAGATAGACGTTCTTGCAGTGGGTCTCTCATCACAAAAAACTTGAAAAATTGCTTTAGATTGCAGCGTCCAGATGGCGGAAGAGTTTTTAGCCATCGGCGGAGATATGTATCAGTGGTGGTGACATTTACGCCTAACATATCTCCGGAGTGGGTCTTCCCACCACTGCAAAATCACAAGTTTTTTAGTAGTTGTTGTTGAACTAAGTCGAGATAATTTCATTGATCACTGGTCAAATTAAGTACATGTAAGAATCATGAGTCATTCTTATGATATGTCGTTTACTAGACTCAAAGGGTCAAGCGGCACTATCCTTTGTTTGAGAATTACTCACCCGCAAACTTTGGTGATAAACGGTTATTTACTCTGCTATAACTAGCTTCCAGTGTGAGTTCTAGTGCCCTTCATTCAACACTCCCTCTCACACTGGAACTCATTGTATTTGGTAACAATGGATTGTTGGTAGCAAGAAATTGAAGAATTGCATGTGGTAAGCAGTCTTTTGCTATCATTCTTTGTTTGTTGGTTTTACATTGATTGAATTTTGTTGACATTTGCTGCATTGGGAGTTGTTTCTATTAGGTTTATGGATGATTGTAGTGGCGATGAGTCAAGCCTGTGTGGGTATCTTCTCTTCTGCTGCGAGTTTATTGGAGAATTTATATATATTTTCGGTGAGAGATTAAGTTGAGGAAGCTCCCTCTGAATTGATAAAAGATTGAACTCTTGACGTGTCTAGATCTGTATCTGTTTGTGTAAGATTTCAAAGTTTTTACACGGTCCGCATAGGGTTTCGACCAAGAATCTATGAATCATGGGATGAATGCAAGACTCTTGCAATTGGATTCAAGGGAGCCAGATTCAAGAGCTTCAAAGATCGAGGCTATGGAGAGGATTATTTGAAAGAATAACTTAAATCTAGATTGAGGTTGGTGTAGGAAGAATGTTGATTACTTACCACATGCAATTCTAGATTGAGATTGGTACAAATCTAGATTGAGATTGGTACAAATATACATTTTTTGTCTAACATTCTATTTAAAAATACAATTTTTATGTTTAATTTTTATAAGCTCTAGTTTCTTTGTGCTACAAATATAAAGATTGGTTTGATAGTGCTCTATTTGACAATTAGAGCATAAGTGTCAAAACAATCCACTCCTTGAATTTGTTTGAATTTCTTTATAACTAATTTTGCTTTCAATTTATTAAGCTTGTCATTTTTTCTTAGTTTGATCTTAAAAATCCATTTTGAAGTAATAACATTCTTTCTTTTTAGTTATCATGGATATATGTATATATTCTAATAAATACCTATATGATGAGGTAGAAGAAGGTAAAAATAAATAAAAATAGATTAATTTCATAATATCTTATAGAGAAGCTTTTTAGAAGCTTTATAGACGCCACTTTGACTTTACATGTGTTTGTAATTGGTTGATAGATTAGAAACTTGGTCAACAAGTTAACCACATGTTGGTAGCTTGAAGAATAAACTAACTATGTGGTGTACATATAGAAAAATTGCCTTGCAAGTTAAGATATATGTCTTGCAAAGTCTTCACGTATTGAAGGTCCTATAGGACATTGCCATATAGCTTCTAGTTTAGAGTATATAGGGAGGCAAGAGTGAAGCCTTCTTCACTCTTGTCAATACCTTTCTTGTCAATATCTTTCTAGTCCTTAGTCTTATTTTAAGACTTTCTATTCTTCTTGTTTTAGGCAATAGCCATTCTAGTTTAATATTATATCATCTTTAAGTGACTTTCTAGTTTTCTTTAGTGATACAAGAGTGTATTAAGGATTTCTTTCTTCAAGATTCATATCCTTGACAGTTTGACAAGAGTGCTAACTTATTTTTTCTATCTTGTTATAGAAGTAAGTGGATTATCCCACTTCTATTGTTGTGCTGTTCAAAAAGTGCTCTTCTTGGTTTGTACTTTGAATAGAAAAAGATTCATAACTCCTTTATAATTTGAATTCTTTCCTAAAAGTGTTTACAGCTTTATTTGGAAAAGTGATCAAAATAGAGTAATAAAAATCAAGTTCTTATCTTTACAACAAAGATCACAGTCAGTCATCATATATGTTGCTCAATTCCAAAACCCTGCTCACAATGTGAATTGAAATGACAAAGCCTTTATCAATCAATTTTGATATAAATTAAAGGATGATGTCAAAGATTTGTTATTAACAATACCAAAGGCAAAATCTTTGAAACAATTTAATGCTCAAGCCATTACATGCCGCAATTAATTATTTGAAAGACATCAAGAACAAAGACTTGACTAGAAAAAAATAAGTTAAATAATAATGGCAGCTTTCAAGTTTTCAAAAACTTATTCATCAAAGCCAAAGCTAATACAAATTGATATCGTGTGTTTTAAACTCCTCATGAAGTAGAAAAAGATTCAACAACATCAAGTAGGCTTATGCTTATATTGTAGAGAAGTTGAATATACTACTCAATATTATCCAAAGAAACAATGCAACCACAATATGAAAAGCATGGTTGCCAAAGAAGACAATGTGTCAAAAAATGAGTTTTTCCAACTATAATAGGGACCGTGCGGATAAAATCTTGTATAATTGCTAGTAAAGTTTATTTTCTCTCCTCAGTCCTTTCACCTTGTTTTATAATAGAAGTTTATTTAGAGCCAAAAAATCACAGAGCATTAACTTTGTTAGATTAAAGAGCCTCATTTTATTTTATAGATAAATATTTTGTTAAAATATAAAAGATATTATTAGTAAAAAAAACTAAATTTGTATATGTAGAAGTCATAGATGATCATTTGCTATCTTTTAGAAATATTACACATGAGACTATTTCTTTAAATGTAGCAATTAAAGATCATAATAATATAGTAATATTTAATATAATAAGATCTCCATCTAATCCAATTATTTTAAGATTATCTTAATTAAAAAAGTATAATCCTTAAATAGATTATATTTCATATAATCTTAATTTTTTTAATAATTTAATCCAAAATCTTGTTAGTCAAGTAGAAAAATATAAGTCTAGTACATCCAAATCCTTACTACTAAGTACGAGATCTTTCATACATATTGCAAAAAAAGAGTTATATTTTGTTATATATGCCATGTCCATTTTTAATGGTGAAAAGACGTCAAGTAATATTCTTAGTTAATATCAAGATTTTTAGGATGTTTTTTAAAAGAAAAATAAAAATATTCTTCCAAAACATCATCTTTATGATTGTTCCTTCAATCTTCATGAAGGAGCTCAACCACCATTTGGATCAATCTATAGGTTATTATAAAACAAATTGGTTGCACTAAAGGAGCATATTGATGAGAACTTTGCTAAAAATTTCATACGCCATTTTAAATCTCCAACTAAGGCTCTTATCTTATTTATGAAGAAAAAAGTTGGATCTTTGCAGATATGTATAGACTATCAAGGACTTAACAAGTTCAGCATCAAGAATAGGTATCCTCTATCTTTGATTTTAGAACTTCTTGTCCAATTCAATCAAGCAAAGATCTATATAAAAATAAATCTATGAAGAGCACATAATCTGGTATGCATTAAAGAAGGAGCTGAATGGAAACTACATTTTGAACCTAGTATGGATATTTTGAATATAATGTCATGCATTTTGGTCTTATAAATACATCAACTACTTTTTAACATCTAATGAATGATATTTTTTGTAAGTTTTTTAATGATTTTATCATCTATTATTTGGACAACATTTTAATTTATTCTAAGAACATAGAAGAATATGAAATTCATGTTTGTCATGTGTTACTAAAACTTAGAAATGGAGCATTATATACCAAGTTAAAAAAGTAAGTATTCCATACTATTCAAGTTGACTTTCTAAAATACATCATTTCTAACAAAGGTCTTCTGATGGATTTTGTTGACTTCTCTAAGGTATTTTTTATGGAAACAAATATATGAGACTTTACCTTGGGTGCAGTATTATCACAAATGGGAGTAGGTGACAAATTCTATCTAGTAGCTTTTTATTCTAATTTTTTTTCAATAACTGAGATTAATTATAAAATCTACAACAAAGATTTTTTTGTAATTAAGGATTCATTTTAAGAATGGCGTCATTATTTAGAAGATTCTTTGAGTTTAATTACCATGTATACAAATCATAAATACCTCGGCTATTTCATGTCAGCATGTATTTTGAATTGTTGCTAAATTCGTTGAAACATGTCTTTATCAACAATTGATTTTAAGATCACTTATTGATCCAAAAAAGAACAAGATTTACTGAATGCCGTTTTTAGATATTTTTATCTTGTAACAAAAGAAAGAGATACATTTTTTGATCAACAAAGAATTTTTTTCATGAAGCCAAAGCATTTTCACCTTTAAGCAATAATATCAACATTAATTATTGATTCAACTTTTTTCAAGCAAATTCAATCAAGTATGTCTTCTAATCTTTTTATATATGATATTAAGAATAATTCTTCTAAGTCTCATGATACTTTCAAGTTTAAATTTATAAATAACCTATTCTATTTTAAGAGATAATTATACATTTAACAAGATGATGTATAATTACGTATTCTTCAAACTTATCATGACTTTCTAGCAACCAGACATTTTGGATACAACAAGACTTTGGACCTAATTTTGATAGATTTTTCATGGCTTCAAATATAGAAGGTAGTTAAAGACTTTGTACAATCATATGATGTTTGTTCAAGATCCAAAACTCCTCGCTATCAATCTTATGGACTTCTATAGCCATTACCTATTTTAGAACAACCATGGACTTTTGTTTCTATGGATTTTATCATAGATCTTCTAATCTCAGATTTGTATGATTCTACATTCATAGTAGTAGTTTATTTTAGCAATATAGTATATTTTGTGCCATATATAAAATCTATCATAGGTCAAGAAATTTCTAAGCTTTTTCTTAACAACATCTATTGCTATCATGGATTATCTAAAGATATTATATCAAATAGGAAGACTCAATTTATACAAGATTTTAAAGAATTCTTTTTAAGATTTTAAAGGTAGATATAAAGCTCACTTTAGCTTTTCATCTTCAAACTAATGAGCAAAAAAAAATGATAAATGAAGTTTTGGAGCAGTACTTGAGGTGTACCATCAACTATCATCAAGATGATTTGATAACTCTTTTATTATTGGCAGAGTTTACATATAATAATTTAATACATTCTTCCACTCAACAAATACCTTTCTTTGCCAACTATGGTTATTATCCATGACTTGATACTTTTGACTTTTTAAAAGTTAATAATTCAACAACATAAGATTTAACAAATTGATTATCAAAGCTATATGCAACAATGAAGGCATAGTTCAAGGAAATTCAAGTACAATAGAAGATTAATATAGATACCTATCA